TGTGTGTGACACGGGGCTCAGGTGGGTGGCCACTGGTGTGTGTGTGTGTGTGTGTGTGTGTGTGTGTGTGTGTGTATGTGTGTGTATGTGTATGTGTGTGTATGTGTGTGTGTGTTTGACACGGGGATAAAGTGGGTGGTCACTGGGGTGTGTCCTTGAGCAAGACACGACAACCCCAGGTCAACAAACAGGACGCTGCACAGCGAGTGGCAACCGGCATTAGCATGGTTGTGAAATTGTTCTATTTTTAGTTTGTTCAATTACTAACATTTTGTATGTATGTATATATGTGAAGCGTGCAAACAAAACGAGTGACTTCCCGCAGTCCATGAATGGAGATAGCAGCCAAAAATCAACGCAAAGGTCATAATATTTGTAGACTCTAAACCAATGCCATTCTCTTCAAGTTTAACATGTCTTTTATCATTTCATACTGATAAATTGTAAAACTTCAACCTATGAATTTGGTGTTTCTTTTTCTATCGGTCTAAAATCTGAGAAGTAACTGATTTTGTCAGCACACTTCACATATTATTTTTATTAGTATGTGCATGTATTTATGTACATATACGTATGTATTAATTACAATTGTTATGTATTTATGTATCTTTACAAATTGACTTTCTGGCATTAAAAAACTACGTAATTTTAAATATACACTTTTAGGACGCTTTTGTTGGTTTGTTTGTTTTAGTAGAGGTTTTACGGCGCTCACAACTGCATATTATAAGGTCATATGAACGCCAAGGAGTGGATGTCAACAGAGAAGTCCCTACACGGAATCAGACTTACTCTGCTCACCTCTGTAGCTTCAACAGCGCAAAGTCTGCTTCGACTAGCAAGGCACCCTGGAAAAAGTGGGTCACAAGAGTGTGACAAACATACAAAAGAAGTAGAGGTAAATGACGATAGTTAGGATAAAGAAAGAAAAAGCAGCAGTTCCCTGTTGTAGTTCAGGCACAGTTGATCGCTTTTAAGCACAAGGGGGTTATCCCGAAAATGTTATTTTGAGAAAATTGAAGGTAAAGTTTTTGCCCCTTGTTCAGTTTCTTTAAAAGACAAGGAGAGTTTCCTCGACAACCAAACAAATATACACACCAATGAAACCAAACTTCTCCTATAGGTAGAGCAATGCCCACTCTTGGTGTATGTCAAGATATCTGGAAACCCCCGAAATCTGGAATAGCCCGCTTGTCCTTAAAAGCGACCATTGTGACATTGTTGGATCAGCCCATTTACCATTCTACTGTGCATTAGAACAAAAAATGTCCCCTCTTTGGGAATGGCCTAAAGACACTTCAGTCAGTGGCACTGCCTCGGGGGGGGGTACTTTTAGGAGGCGGGCTGCTTCCATCCTGCCTATTAGTTGGACCATCGTGGGCTGAGAGGTATACAACATCCCAGCAGATAGACGGGGATCATCATCCAGTGCCTTGCCAACTGGCGTGGGCGATCATGGACCTCCACTTCACTCTGTCTTGCGTTGCAGCAATGGTGTCTGTTGCTCTTGCTGCTCCTAGCCATGTAGTCATTCTTGTCCAGTATCTTTTCCCTCTGTCTGCCTCTGCCTCTGTTTCCATCAAACTTGCCTGTTGTTACAATATTCTCCAATGCTTCTTTCCGCATTGTGTGTCCGAAGAAATTTGCCTGTCGCTTTCTTATATTGGTCATAAGCAGTCTTCTACAATTTGCTTCAACCAAGACTTCTTCATTTGTTTTTCTAGCTGTCCATGGGATACGTAGCATGCGTCTTATGAACCACAACTCTGTCGCCACAATTGTTCTTTCCAGCTGTTTATTGATTGCCCATATAATAGGATTGGCTCGGTGTATCTTTTCAGTACTCTTTTTCTCGTTTCCAGTGACAGATTGATGTTTCTTAGTATCTGTTTCATTTTGTGGAAGGTTACTTTTGCTAGGCAAATATGGCTTTTAATTTCGGTGTGACATCTCCCATGGTCCCCAAATATTTAGAATAATTGTACATGTACTTTCTTGAGGGTGCTATCATTGATACGGAGATACGGGATATTCATAGAACAAGACCTCCCAACACGAGAAACGAACTGACGATGGGTAGGCTCTCGTGGTCTAGAGGTTAAGGTGTTCACCTTTCATTCAAAGGCCACTGGTTCGATTCTGGGTAGCGACGGAAACATTTTCTTCTCTAAAATTGTCTCCTTTCACCCCTTTCCTGCTCTCTGGCAATGTTCTGTCGTCTGCTTTCATCTCCTCTTTCTGTCCCCACCCCTCACCTCCTTTGCCCCCTCCTCTGGGCTCCTGACTCTTTCTGCAGCCTTTCTACAGCTACAACTACGCCTTTGCTCCTTCTTACTGCTGTCTTTCAGCCACATCCCTGATCTTCTGGTAGGAAAGATTTACACCTAGCCTTCTCGGACAAGGGCGAAAAATCTCGAAGGTCACGTGTGCGAGTTACGCACGTTAAAGATCCCTTGATGGTCCAAAATCGATAAGAGTAGGCTTCGGCCGCCATCCAGGT